TCGATAAGAGAGAACATTGATTGGCCGCCTCCTGCATGCCCCACACTGGGGATTTGGCCTACAACCTGGGCATGTGCCCTGACCAGGAATCAAACCGGTGACCTCCTGGTGCATGGGCCAACATTCAACCACTGAGCCACATCAACCAGGCATTTGTGTGCATTTTTTATGGAGAGGCTATATCTTTTATCCTCCAAGGTGATTGTCACCCCACCCCCCCCTGTCTATACCATGTTGTCTCCTTGGAGGAGGGGGCTTTGAGCTGAGTATAGAAGATTGGGATACAGTGGGGTGGGATGAGGAAGGCAAGCTGGGTAGAGAAGAGCACATGTAGGGAGGAGTATGTTGTGGGAAAGAATTCTATAGGCCTAAAGAATGCTGAGGATGCCGTGGGTTCTTTCTTGCTCCTCATTTATTTGTGCTCCAGTCATGGCTCCTGGCTCCCAGCTCCTAAGGGTCATCTGCCTGCCCTGCAACTTCTCAGTATGGGTCTACAGGACACAGCCACTCCAGGCTAGGCACAGGATATCCATTCTTGTCCCAGTCCTATCTTCAGCTGGATTTTATCACCGTAGAATCTTGCAGGAAGATTTCATACCTTTTCTTCTCAGTTCCCGAGTACAGGGTGGGAAGAAAGTGAGCACAAAAGTACAATTGCTTGTGGCTCCTCAATGACCAGAGGCCAATATTAGGAAAGAGGGCTGCTCCCTGGGGCCCCTCCATCCCTGGGAATCCCTTCAGCCCTTACCTGCTCCACTCCTGGCTCTCAGCCCCACGTCTCTTGCGATGACTCCTGGAGTTTCCTTGCCCTGACCAGCCTGAGCGATTTTAAGCACAAGGACCTTATCTTCTCCTTCAAATCTCAGCTCAACCCAGAAGTGGATTCAGCATGAAGCCCCAGAGAGGGACCTCCACATGTGTTCTTGGGAAATTTGCAAAGGTAAGGTACTTTAACCACAATCAGTCAATATTGCTAGTTCTTTTCACTCCAACTTCCCTTATGTCCCACCTTCCTCTTGTGCCAGGTGGTTGGAGGGGCCATGGGCATCTCTGGGATCTGGCTAAGCGGGAGTTGAGTTGGGCATCAATTTAATTTGGGTTCATTGAGATATATTTATGTGTTTCTCAGTCATCTCTACATGTAGATAAATCATTGCTAGCCACCTCTATGTACAGAATGGCTTCTAGGAACCTTCCTATGCACTGTCCAACTCACTCAGAATTGTGACACCAGGGTGTCATATCAGAGGTGGTCTCGTGGCATGAATGGGTTTTATGCCACCTGGCCCTGGAAGCATATGGGCAGTGGAGGAGAAACAGGTTTGAAATGTACAGAAACAGAAGCTAGTCTGTGGGAAATCCTTCCAATTGTCAGGGGAAAGCATGTATTTTAGAGGTGTGCCTGGCAGTTAGTAAAAAATACTATGTTATTTTTCTAAATTGCGTGATGCTGACTTCCGGTCAAGATGGCGGCGTAGGTTAACGTGGTATCACCTCCTTTCACAACCACATCAAAGTTACAACTAAACTACAACACAACCATCATTTAGAACCTTCTGAAATTGAGCTGAATGGAAGTCCTACAACTACGGAATTAAAGCAGCCGCCGCATCCAGACTGGTAGGAGGGGCAGAGGCGGACGGGCTGGTCCCACACCCACGTGTGGCAGATAAAAATCAGGAGGACACCTCGGCTGGGAAGGTCCTCCCTGAGGACTGAGGGGTCCCTGTCCCACACCAGGCACCCAGCTCAGGGTCCCAGTGCCAGGAAGAGAAGTCCCCATAACTTCCGGCTGGAAAAAACAGCGGGAACTGAGACTGAGGAAGGCTGAGGCTTCTGGAGCCCCAGGCAGCTCCTCTTAAAGGGCCTGCACACGGACTTACTCAGACTTGTTCCCTCTGAGCTCAGAGGGGAGGCAGCTTGAGGGGCACCAGAGAACAGGGAAGAACTGAGCTCTTTGGCCTCAGGACAAGGGCTGGAGGGGCAGCTTTCTCCTGGATACACTGTGCTGGTGGAGGCTGATGTTCCTTTGGTGAGCCCTTCCCTGGGGTGGCAGACAGCCACCATATCTGGGACTCCAGCAACCTGGCTCACACTGTTTGCCCCACCCTAGTGAATCCCTGAGACCCTGCCCCACCCAAGTTTTGGGCCCACCCAAGCTGTTTCCAAAGGCTTTACCATAGGAAACTGCTTCAGTTTCCTAAAATCTCTCAAACAAGCAGCATCTGGTCAGTGAGCCCCATACCTCTCATTAAGTGGCCCCAGGTCTGGCATTAGAAGCAGCCAGCCTTGGTTCACAACTTGGCTTTTCCTGGACACCTCCAAGCCCAGCACAAGAAGCAGCCATCTGCAGATCACACTGTAGCTTATGCCATGTGGCCCTGGATAGAAAACAGGCAGACTGACCTTGCCCCAGAGCCAGCACACCCAGTGGACAGCTTCAGACCACACCGAAACACCACTACCCAACCACCTCCACAAGTGACACACTCAATGAGTGGACTCAGTGGGTACCAGAGCCCTGATTAAGTCTTGCTCTGTGTGGTGGGCCCCTACACAGCTGATCCTCCAAGGTAGTCAGAGGCCAATGGTCAGTGGGCACAGCCAGTCCTTGAAGCTGATCGGCCTGAGTAAATCCCTCCCATTGACATGCCAACAGCAATCAAGACTCAAATACAACAGAAGTGTGTACAGTCCACACTAGGGGTGTACCTCGAGGGACCAGCTGGGGTGATCAGGGAGGCTGTGCCACTGGATCCTACAGGACACATACAACAGTAGGACACCCTACGAAGCCTAGGAGACATAGCAACTCTGCCTAGTACATAGAAACAAACACAGGGAAACAGCCAAAATGAGGAGACAAAGAATCATGTCTCAAATGAAAGAAAAGAACCAACAAAAAAACTAAACAAAATGGAGATAAGCAATCCATCAGATGCAGAGTTCAGAGAACAGGTTATAAGGCTGCTCAAGGGACTTAGTGAGACCTTCAAGGAACTTAAGGAGACCTCTGAGAAACTTAGAACATCAACAACATAAAAAAGGACCAGTCAGAAATTAAGGATGCACTAACTGAAATAATAATTTACAGGGAATCAATAGTAGAGTAGGTAAAACCAAGAAGCAAACCATTGATTTGGAATATAAGGAAGCAGAAAACACCCAACCAGAAAAGCAAAAAGCAAAAAGAATCAACATCCAACCAGAAGAGCAAAACGAAAAACGAATCCAAAAAAATGAGGATAGTGTAAGGAGCCTCTGGGACAACTTCAAGCGTGCCAACATTCACATCATAGGGGTGCCTGAAGGAGAAGAGAGAGAGCAAGAAATTGAAAACCTGTTTGAAACAATAATGACAGAAAACTTCCCTAACTTGGTAAAGGAAGCAGACATACAAGTCCAGGAAGCACAGAGAGTTCCAAACAAGTTGAACTCAAAGAGGCCCACACCAAGACACATCACCATCAAAATGCCAAAGGTTAAATATAAAGAGAATCTTTTTTTTTTTTTTTTTTTTATCCTCATCCGAAGACACTTTTCCATTTTTTTTATTCAGATAGAGTGGGAGGGAGAGAGAGAGAAACATCGATGCGAAAGGGACACATCGAGTGGCTGCCACCCGCACGACCCAAGCAGAGCTGGGGACAAACTGCAACCCAAGTACATGCCCTTAGCGGAAACCGAACCCGGGTCTCCTGGGACCGCAGACCGACGCTCTAACCGCTGAGCCAAACCGGCCAGGGCTATAAAGAGAATCTTAAAAGCAGCAAAAGAAAAGCAGTTTGTTATGTACAAAGAAGCTCCCATAAGATTGTCAGCTGATTTCTCAAAAGAAACTTTGCAGGCCAGAAAGAAGTGGCAAGAGATATTCAGGTGATGAAAAGCAGTGAACTACAACCAAGATTACTCTATCCTGCAAAGCTGTCTTTTAGAATCGATGGACATATCAAGTTTCCCAAACAAGAAAAAGCTAAAGAATTCATCACTACCAAACCAGTATTATATGAAATCTTGAAGTGTCTTCTTGAAGGCAAAGAAAAACAAAAATATGAACAATAAAATGGCAATTAATACATATCTATCAACAATTGAATCTACAAACAAAATGAGCAAGCAGAACAGAAACAGACTCATAGATACAGACTCAAGCAACTTTTTGTTACTTGCCAGATGGGAGGGGGCTGGAGGGATGGGTGAAAAAGATGAAGGAATTAAGAAGTACAAATTGGTTGTTAGACTGATGAACCTCAAAGGGAAGGGGGGGAGGGAGGGAGGGATGAGATAAACCAGAGAATTTCTATGCATATATGCATAACCAATGGACACCGACAATAGTGTGGGGAAGGCAGGAGGGGGGCGGGATTGGGGAAGAAGGGGTTAATGAAGAAAAAAGGGAGAAATATCTGTAATATAGTTAACAATAAAGATGAGTTTAAAAAACTAAAATAAAATAAAAATAAAAAATAAATTGCGTGATGTTGTTTTGACTTCTCTCTTTCTAGGTAAAGAATGACTTTCTCACCTCATTTTGTATTCTTTTTCTTGGAGGGCTCCCCAAACTGTATAAGCTTCCGTTTCCACAGAATCTGGATGGAGTCCTCGTGTCACCATTTATTTTCTGTGTAATCTTGGGCAAGTTACTTACCCTTTCCGAACTGTTTCCTCTTTGGTAAAACGCAAATGCCGATTTGGACAGGTGAGTACTCAGAAAGCCTCCTGCCCTTATTCCATTTCTGAAACCATTACTAGAGGAAGCAGCCCAGCCGAGTGAAAATGAGACCAGAATATACAGATAGGGGAAGATGTAACATATAAGAAGTAATGGTGAGCAATGAATCCAGTAAAACTTAAATCTTAATAATTGGAAATAATGCAATTGTTGCACATTCTAGTGCAGTTTGTAAGAAAGGGTTTCTGTAATAGGAGAGACATTACGCAAGAACAAATTTAATAACAAGCTGTATCTATAATTCCATATTATTTTTGCAAAACCTGGGCAATAGGAGGGAAGGAAAAGGAATATAAACATACAAACAGCCTCATCTTGTTGAGACTTTGAAATTCTTGGCGTTGATAAGTAAAGGCTCAGTCAGATATTTGTTGAACATGTACAGGTGTCAACAAAAGTAGAATAAAGTGGGAATTAGAACTTCTGTACGTCCGTCTTCTTTCACGTAGGAGAGCCTGCAGCCTGCTGCTGGGAGCTGCTCAGAGGGCCACAGGCAGTTGAGTCCGTCCGCTTCTCCCCAGGCCCCAGCACATGGCTGGACACAGTGCTTGGGGAGCTGCCGCCGAGGGCTCCATCTCCTGCCTCTGGAGCAGCAGGCCCCAGCCAGGTCAGACGTGACGGCAACAGAACGGGCTGGGAGCAGATCAGGAAACTCTCTCCCGTCCCAGGGAGAGAACCAGGCCCGGCCGTAAGATCAGAGAAGGCTCGAGTGCACAGGCCCAGTTAGTTTGGCTGACCCAAGCGTTCCACAGATCGACTCGTTACAGCTGGGCGTTACTGCTCCCAGCATGACAAAGAACAGGTCCTTATGCCAACCCAGGCATCACGTTTACCCCCAAACTTGGGTGTCAGAGAACCAGACATTATCTGTGTAGCCCCAGGTGACACCCAGGAGGAAATAGTGAAATGAAGATTCTAGTTACAAAAGTCAGTGTGACTTCGGTGGGGGGCCCTGGTCAAATGTGAAATCTTGGCAGTGTATAGGATACCAGGGAGTGTGTGCTGGGTGCATTTGGTCTTTGAAGGTAGAAAATGCCCGAAGGAGGGGCTCAGGTCTCCCTCTGCACCGAGCCCCTTACCCAGACTGTGGCTCCTTGAGGGCAAGGTCTGAGACTTCCTGAGTCCAGAGGGAGAGTCTCCCCACAAAGCTAAAACCCCTTGGGGACCTCACACCAAATTTCCTGAGCCCTGCCCAGCCTGGGTGTCCTGAGGGTGAGGCCATCTCTCCCCAGTGGATCTCTCCTCCGAGCTCAGGGCTCCGCCTCCAGGGGGCGCCAAACGGACACTTCTTGACAGAGGCTGTCCTGGCCCCACCCCCAGGTTGAGTGGGGCTGGGAGGAGACCTGAGTCCATCCTGACTGCACAGATGGTCACAGCTGGAAGGGGCCTGAAAGCTGGTAAGCCCTTTTCCACCTGACAGACATAGTGGCCGAGGCTCAGAGAGGTGGTGGCAGAGCAGGGCTAGGATCTGGTGTGCAGGGCGGCCTGGCTTAGTATTGTCCACTTCTCTACCCTAGGACCCGTGGGGAAAGATGTGGTCCCTTCACCCCACCTGGGAAAGCCTGGTGTCAGGTCAGCCTGTCTGGCTGGGGGAGAAAGGAGAGAGACCCTCTTGCTTCGGAAGTGGCCAACACAGCAAAGCCCCAAGGAACTCCTTGGTTCAGATGAGCAAACAAAGACCCAGAGAGGGTCAGTTACTTGCCTGAAGTCACACAGCAAGTCAGTGTAGGAGTCAGGATCGTAAAACAGGACTCCTTACAACCAGTCTCAGGCTAAGGCCTAGAGGAGGTACTTGCCATGGCTGCCACTCGGCCAGCGTGGGGCCCTGGGACAGCTCACACTCTGGAGTCTTCCGGCTTCTTCTCTGGTTCTGACACCAATGGCTGCTGCTGTAGGCCAGGGCATGTCACCACCTTGGTCCTTTCCTCTTTGTCCTGCTGCCTTAGGATAGCCAAAATCAAGGCGAAGCAGGCCAGGGTGCCCGTCTTGAAGAAGAACTGGAGGCCAATAAACCTGGGAAAGAGCAGGGGACCGTTGGGCTCACTACCTCCCCATTCAGGGCTTGGATGTCCTTGGGCTGGGGGTAGAATGGGGTCAGCAATCACCACCCATTGTGCACTTGGAGACATTGAGGCCCCGGGGGGAGAAGAGACCTCCAGCCCCAGTGGACTCCACATGGCCATAGCCTTGGAATTGGGCTGTGGTGGCCCTTCTCGGGAAGAGGGGGATAACCTTGCAGGGGTCCGAGGTGGGGAGCAGAAGCCTGGGCCCTCTCGCTGCCCTGTCCCTGACTGCCTTGAGGCCTGGGCCAGCCCTGCCTCTGTCTAAGTCTCTCTAACAGCTCAGGGGGCCTGGCATTCGCAACTTTGGGTTCTCCCCCGACTCCGGCCAAAGAAGAGAGGATTCCTTCTCCCCTGTTGGTCTAACTCGGTCATTTTTAACCGGTGCGCCACAAGAAACTTTAAAACATGCAATACCTGACTATTTAGTCGGGCACTGACCTCATTTTCCTTAGATTGTCAAATTAAAAAAATGACAACAGCCAACACAACAATAGCTGTTCAGTGTGAATGAATCAAAATTATATTTTTTTTTTGTCAGATTGGCAAAAATATATTTTTTTTGGTGTGCCACAGAATTTTAGTGATTAGTTTATTTGTGCCATGAGATGAAAAGGTTAAAAAACCCTGGTCTAACTTACCAAGTCTCTCATTTGACATTTTATCCCCTAGGAAGTCCCTGGACAGTCCCAGCCCGTAAGAACCATGCCCTCCTCAGAGCTGGAAGTGACCAGCTCCATGACCCCGACACTGCGGCAAGGCGCCCCCACGACCCAGCCCCGGGCCAGCAGCCTCTGCTTTCAGGTTCCTTTGGGCTTCCCATTATACAGGCAGGAAGATCGAGCCCTGGAAAGGCAGGTCTCACATCAGGGAGAAAGAGCTGGGCCTGGATCCCAGCCCCCAGCGTTATAGATAGGGCCTTCTTCCCACCACCCCCCGATTTCCTGTCTCTCTCACAACCCGGCTGCTCCCCTGGTTCACTCGCACTCAGCCATGACAACGCATGGGTTCAAGCAGCGTGGGTTCAAGGCCCAGCTTTGCCAGTTATCTGCCGTGTCTTTGGGCCACTTTAACTCACCTTTCTCTTCCATGGGGGACAGTGTCTAGCTTGCAGGACGGGTGAGCTCAGCCCTGGACATAGCACCTGTCACCACCAGGACTTCTCCTCCCTGCTGGTCCCTGCCTGGGACCCCTCCTGTACTTTCAGCACCCTTCCCATAGTCCCCTGGCAGCCCCCACCCCAGGTCTCACCGGTTTCGGAACAGGTCGTGGTCATAGTAGCGGCAGACGGCTCGACGCCCACAGCTCTGGGCCCAGTGCATACAGGTGGTGTCGATGGCACTGCCGTGGATCACGGGGCTGGGCATCCAGGCTGGAGGAGGAAGTGCTCAGGGGACAATGGGCCTGGCATTCCTGCACCGCCCCCCCCCCTCACTCCCTGGCATATAAAACCCCTCAGGGGCGCTGAGCCTCTGGAGGTCTCTCGGCCCACCCCCCACCTGGCAAGAGATGCTGCCTCTCTGATGGGCCCTTTAGCTGCTTACACACCCACTCCAGGTACCTGGGTACCTGTTTCCCCGTGGGCCTGTGAACCCTAAGGTCAGGGACTGGGTCTCACTCATCCCTGTGCCCCCCAGCCCCGGCACACAGTGAGAATCGGGACCAGTGGTTCTTTACCCAAAACTCTCAGGAGCATGAACTGGATTCCCACGGCCAAAGTCTTGTCTTCTTTCTTCACTCCCCTGACAGCAGGAAATGGGTGACATAGGATCAAGAGGGTTCCAGCCCTCAAGGGGCTCTCGCCATTCCTCTCCCACCACCACGCCAGCCTTCCCCTAGTCTCAAGGTCCTTGGGGGGATGGGGCCAGGGCCTCAGGCTCCACACTCCATTTCTGATCAACCTGCAGAGCCTGGTCCCCATGTACCAGCCAGAGCCCTGACCACCAGGGCCCTGTGCTGACCTCCCTGCGTGCCTGGTCACAGACACCTCCCCTCTCCCCACCCCCTGGCTCCACCAACTTCTCCCCTTCCTCCTACACTTGACCAAACCCAGAGCTGGGCAGCTGGACATGCCTTCTAACTTCCTTGACTACTGTGATGCCATAGCCCGGAACACCCTGAAAAGCACTGGCTTGTCTCCTGAGACACCAGTGGCTGACACTTATGGAGGGCTGACTGCAGGCTGTCATTCTCTGTTGCAGCTCCCACTTCACCCTCATGAGGTAGGTGTATCATTAGCCCCACTTGACAGATGAAGAGACTGACAGATTCTTGGGCAGGTTAAGTGACTTGGCTAAGATCCCACGGCTGCTGGGTGTCAGGAGTAAGAACTTATACAGCACTTTGCCTGCCTTAACTCCCCAGGCAGGTGGCCTGTGGGGCATCTGGTTCCTCTACTTTCTTTCTTATGGCCAGACTCTTTTATGGATCTACATGTCTTCTCCTGTTTGTAAGGTGCTCCATCCCCATTCTAGTTTTCTAGAAAACAGGGAATAAAATAATCCCAGCATAATGAAAAATTGGAGTTATCCTTCTATGAGGTCCCCTGATTGCAGCCCCCACCCTGGGAACTGCTGACTTTGGCCTCAGGTGACAGTTTGTTGGTCCCAGCAGGCACCCTCAGGACAATAGCCAGACAGATCTTGGACCAAGAAGCTGTGCTCAGCATGGGCTGGTTGCACAATGGGCACTTAATGAGTGCTTGTTGGCTTGAAGTGGCATTCAGATCGTGGGCCACCCTGATAGAGTTTGGTGTTCTGGATGCTTCTCCCGTGGCCTGCCCCTGTCAGAGAGGGTGGGGGCGGGGAGTCAGGGGTCACTCCTCCACTTCCTCCTTGGGTATGGCCTCCCCTCCGGAGTCATGTAGGGGCCTGGGCTCTGGGCCCCACCACCAGTACTATTCCACTTGCTACGTGGCCTGGGGTTAGCTCCTGAATTGCTCTGAGCCTTAGTTTTCTTATCTGTAAGATGGGAGAAAACTTCATCTCAACAGGTTGCCACGAGGATGAAGACAGGACAATGGGAGCCTGGTCTGTTTGGGGGACCCACCCATCCACTCTCCTTCCCAAACTCCTCCCTCAGGACTCCTTGTCCTGCCTGTGGTTAAGGCCTCTTGGAATCCACCAGCTCTGGCCCGCCCCTGCGTTCACCTCAGGATGAGCATGAAGGAGGGCGTGTGGGTGACACTGCTCATGGCTGCACTCAGGCTGACTAGGAGCATGAAGGGCAGCACCAGGTGGCTGCAGGCTGAGTCGCAGGAGCCCGCAGGCACGGGGCCACCCCCCTCCACGCAGGTGCAGTTGGTGTAGAAAACCTGGGGAAGAGGGAAAAGAGCCTTCAGGAACCTCCAGGGGCAAGCAGCTGGCCAAGGGCCGGAGGCCCCAGAAGGCTTGTGAGAGACTCGAACCATCTGGGACAGAGCTGACGGGAGGCTGGGATTCCGGACCCCTTGCTGAGTCAGGATGGCCGGAACAACCAGGCAGGTAGGTCCTGGACTCAGGCTGTCCGTCTGCACACAGAGGGGCTGAGGCTATGGGGGGAGAGGGAGGTGGAAAAAAGAAAAGAGAGAGGGGCCTAGAAGAGCATCACCCCCACCACACCACACATACATACTCACACACATACCACGTACACTCACACACACATACATATACACCACATACACTCACACACACATACGTACACATCATGTACACACACACACACACCACGTACACTCACACACACATACACACACCACGTACACTCACACATACACACCATGTACACTCACACACATACCACATACACATACATACACACTCACACACATACCACATACAATCACACACGTGTGCGCACACACCACACACACGTGCATGCACGCGCGACACACATGCATATATGTTCACATACACATACATGCTCACACACACCATTCACACATACATGCTCACACATACCACATACACACACCCCACACATACATATACATTCACACACACAATACACACACACTCACACGTAGACACACCATACAGGGTGGGGTAAAAGTAGGTTTACAGTTCATATGGAAAATACAATAATTAATAACTAATAATACATGAATAAACTGTTTTGTGTACTCACAACTATAAACCTACATTTGTCTTACCTTGTATACACATACACATACATACATACATACACCATAGACACACACATTCACATACATACACATTTACACTCACACATATACACAGACACACACCACACGCAAACTCATTCTTTTACTTGGTGATGTCAGAATGTTCCAAATTCCTGACCATATGTGCAAGGAATCAGCAACAAAGAGTTTTGGGGGGAGGAACTCCAATTTTTCAGCTCATGGTTCCCCCTCCCCCCTTCACTGAGGCCTTCCAGGGTGCTGGGTCCTGCAGTGGACTCTCAAGGAGAGACTGAGGCACAGGATGAAGGGGTGCAGTCAGCACCAGGGGAAGGAGGCTTTACCGAAGAGTGATGTTGGATTTGGGTCTTGGCAAGTGAATGAGAGTTTTCCCAGAGGAATGAGTAGAGGGAGGGTCACATGTAAAACCACAGTGGCATGAAAGACCCCAGCAAATCTTTCTTTCTGCCTGGAGCAGAGCGCATGCGGCAGAGGGCAGAGGGCAGAGGGCAGAGGGCAGAGGGGACGTGCTCGAAGGGGGCATTGGGGTGACATCGTGAGAGGAGCCTTGACTGCTGTTTCCAGAGACACAGTGGACCAGGGGCCCTGCCAATCATCCTGCTGACAACTTAAAATACTGGATACGGTATTGAACGTATTGTCCCGAATGCACCCACAAACTGGCAGTATGTAAAAAATACTGAGGTTCGGTGAGCCCAGAATCCAGAACGATGAGCAGAGTTCTGAAACAGGCTTTGGCCCCAAGGCATCTGCAGAACCTTGTACAAAGGCGTATAGCTTTCTGCGGTTTGGGGAGCTACAGGGCCCGAGTCCCAGCCCCATCCTGCCAGGGTGAAAAGTCTCATAGGAGATGCCCAGAAAACTGGGACCCCTGTAAGGGCTGAAGTAGGAGTAAAAGCTGACCTCTTTCCATTTGCAGGGAGCCACCCCAGGTGGCTAAGGGTGTGTTTGACTGCAGCCCGTATTCCTACCCTCTCGTGGCCTGGAAAACCTCCAGCCAAAGATCCTCTCAGAAGTGGCCTAGACCAACAGTGCCCTCAGGTGCCTGGCCAAAGCAAAGCCAAGCCAGGAAGCCCAGGCTTTTCTTTTGTTCCCCATGTTTCAGAGTTTCCCGATCAGTCAGTGTGCCCCAGGGACCCTCGGGCTTCAGCTGGGAGACAGGTGTGCAGGGACTGGCCCCAGTGTGACGGGGCTGGCCCAGGACAGCTGGAGCGCGCCGGGCCTCTCACCTTCAGCCCTGGCAGCCTCAGACACTGCCCACTGTGACAGGGGTTGGAAGCCCTGCGGTGGATGCTGGAAGCAGGGGATAGAAAAGAGCAGATGGAACAGAAGCTGCTCTGGCAGCCGCAGGGGGAGGGGATAGAGAAGAGGGCGTTGATTTGAGAGGGAGCGAGGACACCCAGGACTTGGGCAGTGGGTGCTCTTGCCTGCTCTTTCCATTGCTCTGCAGGGTTCCTGGGTATGGTGAGGCCGTGAATCCACATGTGAGCACACACCATGTGGACCTTCACCTATAGGCTGAGCAACCCACTGGGCTGTAGGCACACCACAGGGACAGGAGAGTAGCGAAATAAGCCAGGGCAAGGTGACTGGAAGAGAACTACCCTGCCCTGTTCCTTTTCTGAGAGGCCGGGGTGGACACAACAGTGAGAGCCTTTCTCTTGGGGATTTTCCTAACCCCTTCACTCACATTCACCTAATTCTATGGCAGAAAGTTCTTATGAATGACTCCAATCCCTCCATCCGCCTCTGATTCCGCCCTAATCCCTGAGCCCTGGATCCTGCAGTCACACCACCTTCCCCACCTTCCCGGTCAGTTCTCATTCATAAACGCTTACTGGGCACAGCTGTGCCAGGCACGGACCCGCCCATCTCGGGGCCCAGGGGCTCACAGTCGGCCACCAAGGGACCATTCCAGGCCAGAGTGACAGTTCCTGAGTGCTGACCGGGGCTGGGCTGCACCCTCCTCCAAGTACTATACCCAAACACAGCCTCTGAGGGTGCTCCGGAAAGGGGGCCGGGCTGGGAGGTCGGAGCCCTGGGCTCTAGTCCTCGCCCTGGCATTAAGACTTTGGGCAATGCCCCAGGGCCTCTATTTCCCATGTGTTTAATGTGTGCAGACAGGAGGAGGTATTACTGAGCACTTAAACTTCCCAGGCACTGTGCTAAGTGCCTATCGTGGATTATGCCACGTGGCTCTTCACTTACTATGTAACGCATTCATCCAGGGAAAGCATTTAGCGCAGTGGCTGGCTTATAGTAGGTGCTCACGACTATCCCCTCCGTACAGACCAGAAGACGGGCACAGATTAATTTTCCTAAGATAACAGAGTCAGAGGCAGAACAGGTAGTTGAACCACATGGCCTGGCCTTAGTGGTCAGGGGCCCATGTTCTCAGGAGTTCACTGTCCCCTCGGGGATCCTGCCCTGGACTCTAGGGCCTGGAGGCTTCGGGAGTGATGTCAGGGAGGTCAAACCAGGTCAGGACAGTGAGCGACAGGAGACTCCAAAGGCTTAGATTGTGATCATTCCGAACGCAAACAGTTCACACAGCCCCGTGCCGCCCGGCTGGCTTCAGAAGTGCAATCAGCCAGGTGCTTACTCTGCACCAGCCGGTGGGGAGCAGGTCTCTCCCTGCAGGAGCTGCCGGCTTAGATGCTGGTGCCAAGTAGGACACGATGGCAGGTGGGAAACTCTGGGGAGAGGGAGGAGTTGTCATAACAACAAACCCGACAGTACAACCCTACTCACACATGCTTTACAGCCTGGAGGCTGGCTCTTGTCCCCTTTGTCATTTAGTGGGACTGAGGAGACAGGGCAGGAGGACCAGCTGGTCTTGGCGGCCTGTCTAAGGCTCACACCGAATGCACTGTTGCTGATGCTGCCCCGTTTCCCACCCTGAGACGTCCCGGGCTCTGGGTCCCCAGCTCAGACGGTGGCTGACTGTGCAGCCTCCCCACTGGTCTCCCCATCTCCCAGCCTGCATGCTGATCACCTTCCTGCACACCATGGCCTCAGTGTGATCAAACACAGGTCCGACTCTGTCACCTTCCTGCTTAGAAAGTCACCCAAGGCTGCCCATTGCTCTCTGGATAAAGTGCCCACGCATGGTCTGGTATTCCAGGCCCTGCTTGGTCTGGGGCTTGCTTTCCCTCCAAGAACCCTAGCTTCTGCTCCAACAAGCTCTTTGCAATTTCATGAAACATCGTGTGTGCGTGTGCATGTGTGTGTGTGCGTGTGCATGTGTGTGTGTGTGTGCATGTGTACATGCGCGTATGTGTGTGTACACCATGTGAGCGGGCTTGCTTCCAGACTCGGCTTCTGCTCTTCCCCCGCCTGGAAAGCCTTCCCTGGTTTGCTTGCTCACCTTGAAGACCCAGCACGCATACCATGTGAAGCCTCGGACCCTCACAGGTGGGCAGTGTCTCCTTCCATCCTTGTCTGTGTTTGTGGGGACCACTTCTCCTGCCTAGCAGCACCCCTGGAATTCCTGCGTTATTTCCCTTTGCATCCCTCCTGCATGGACAGCTGGGGCCATCTGGTTCCCCTTGGGGTCTGGACACTGGCACATGGCTGGGCCCAGGCGGGCAAAGAAGGCTTATGGAGAGAATAATATTCCACGTCTGCCAACAGAAGGCGACAGACAGACAGAAGAGCCAGAGGGTGAGAACACTCAGAGCTGGGGAGCGTGGCTGGCACAGAGATGGGGTGAGAGGCAGAGGGAGCAGCCAGACGCCTGACCCACCTTGCTTTTGTCCAGAGCCTCTGTGCCCGCCCGCTGTGTGCAGCCTGCGTGGCAGGGTGTGAGGTACTCCACACGGGTGCTGGGGTCGCACACAGGGTTGAAGTCATCCGAAGGACAGGAGCAGGGCTTCGTGCAGCCTAGGAGCTCCAGCCCGGGCTGGGCGCTGGTGGGAGAGAAGGCCAGAGGGTTGGCTCCCCCCCACCCCAGGCCACAAACCAGATATACCTCAGCCCTCGCCTGGCTCCCCGCCGGAGAGAGCAATGGCCAGAGATGCCACCCATACAGGCTTTTCACCGCCAGGCCCGCTCCACTGACATCACTGGCTCGTGGTGGTGAGCTCCTTGCAGTGGAGGTATGAGTGGGAGGACGGGCTGGCAGCTTTGGGAGACCTCCCAACAGGAGAAGTGGGGAGCAGAGTCTGAACCAGAGGCCTCCGGAGACCGCCTCCAGCCCCAAGAGCCTGTGTGTATTGGAACTGCTTCTGTGAACATGTGCTCCTCAGTGGCCCTTCTTTAGGGAACATAAGATAAACTCCCTTTAGAGTTTAGTCTTAGACGAAAAGTGCCTTTTCCTCAATGCAGCTGGATCACATCTTTTTCTTGGAAAATCTGAGCTATGTATGTAACTCAGGATATCTCACTAGCTGTGGGGTCTCCGGCCTGCTCCTGCCTCTCTCTGGGGCTCAGTTTCTCTGTCTGTCACCTCAGCTGCAGACCCCCCGCCCAATCACCATCCTTCCGTCTCATGACCTCTCACTCTCTCTACACTGTTCCCTGGGTCTAGGGCACGTGTTTGTCCCACCTGCCTTCCTTCTGAGAGTCTGCCCCCCAAGTCCAAGGAGAGCCCATACTCCAGCCAGCCAGGGCAAGATGGGGCAGGAGGTCAGAAGAGAGGCGGAGTCCCAGGGGCAGGTCACCTGGGAGAGGGCCAGAGGTGCCCCTGGGACTCTGAGTGTGACCTGGCTTCACAGTTTGGAGGGAGAAAATCTGCCGAGGAGCCAGTGGCCCAGCTGGGAGGAAGAGGCCAGAGGGGCCTCTGGAGGACCTGTGGGCTTGGGTGGGGATGGACAGAGGGGGGGGGGAGGGGGGAGAAGAGGCGGGGGACAAAGGTGAGCCCAGCTCCCTCCCGAAGGTGGGTCTCCATCTGAGGGGGAGGGAAATCATGGGCCAGCAAGTCCTCCTCTCCCCTGGCAGGCAGTGCCGTGTGTCCAGCCCTGTCCCACAGGAGGGGAATAGCCTGGCACTGTCTGAGCGGAAGGCCCGTCAGGAGGTGGCTCCGGGGACCTCTGCTGGGGGGGGGGGCCCTTCTCAGAGCCCCCCTGGCAGCCGCTGGAAGGCTGAGGAGGTGAGAGCTACCGCTCTTCCTCAGCCCCTTGCTCCTGGGGGGACAGTCCTGGCTCCAGGCCCCGCCCCTCCCAGCCAGGCAGCCAGGGTGCGACTCCAGCCCAGGAGCCAGCTGTCCTCCTGTGTGAAGTGGAGGGAACAGCCGGCCCGTCCCAGAGGTGCTGTGCGGGCCAGTGAGATGGGGCGCGGGCGTTGGGCGAGGCCAGGCCTCTGCTCTTGGCAGCTACTGTAGCAGCAGTTGAGCTGGAGTACGAGAAATTCTGCTCAGTTTGCTCATTTGGTCCTCAGAGGCTTCTCCAGTGAATTAGAACCCAAAGTTCAGTGAGTAAATTGTAAGAATATAGATGAGAACACAGGTGAGATGAGATGTCAGAGTCAAGGTGAGAGGGAGAAGAGGAGAAAGAAGGCATGTGGCATAGGCTGACTTCTTAAAATCCTCACCTGAGGAGGGAGGAAAGGGGGGAGGAGAGAGAGAGAGAGAGGGAGAGAGAGAGAGAAACATCGATGTGGAGAGAAACATTGATCAGTTACCTTCCCTACGCTCCCTGACAGGGCAATCAAACCCGCAACCCAGACTGGGAATGAATCGGCAGCGCCTAGGTGCATAGGACGACACTCAACCAACTGAGCCACTCTGGCTGGGCTAGACTGATCATTTTTTTAAATCGTGGTAACATATTCATTTACTTTTTATTCCAAAAATTAATTCAAGGCCCTGGCTCCCTCAGACCCAGGCCTGGCTGAAACCCTGCTGCTGCTGTGCCTAGAACAGGGCTCTGCACAGAGGGCCCCATCCCGGACAGCAGAGATGCCCGCGGTTGGGAAAGGGGAGGGAAGGGAATGGGGAGAGGTCAGTGAGGTGGCCCCTGGGACGCAGAGGCCAGGGCTGAGCCCCCACCCCCACACCTGTCACACAGAAGGAGCCCCATGGGTGGAGGAGGAAGATGCCCTGGGAGAGACAGGAGCAAAGAAGGTTGGGAAATTCCAGCCGAGTGGGCCGGCCTCAGCCTAAGCCTGGAGTAGTTCCCAGGAAAAATGAAATCATTCTGGAAGAGAGGCAGCAGTAACTTCCAACATCCTCTCCAAACTGCTCCCCAGGGGAAAAGATGTATGTGAGGGTGGGGGATGGGGAATGCCGGACAGGGAAGGAATATAGGCAACAGAGGATTTCCTCTTGGTGGGTGGAGGCAGGTGCTGCCCCACAGATGTGGGAAAAGAATTCTGGAATTTTAGGGCCATGGAACAATAGAGTTTAGCTCCCAGGCTCTAAGAGCCAAGAATCTCCTAGGTCTCCAGGCCAACCCCTTCCCAAAACGTAAGTCCCCTCTGCAGTGTCCCTGATAGGAGCCTTCCAGCCCCTGCTCACCGCCTCTCCCATCCTCACCACCCAGGGATGGAGAGCCCTCCCTCCTGGGTACGGCTTTCCTGTGCCTGGAGCAAAGCCTTCCTTCGGCCGAGCTGGGTCCTGCCCCTGTGAGGCACCCACCTCCACGGGCACACAGGGCTCATCCACTCGGGAGATGTCATGCCCACAAGTGGCTTTGCCCTGACTCAGCCTCCATCCTCCCCCGGCCTCAGCTGTCCTGCCGTGAAGTTCCTCCCATCCCTGTCCGTTCTAGCGCTGCCTGCCGCTTTCACTGGAGAGACAAGTCCTACTGCTTAAAACTGAGTCCAGTGGGGAGGGGAGGAGATAGGGCTATGGGGGAGGTGAGATTTGAGGTACCCCACTGACCTGGCCCTGTCTGGGTCACCCCCTTCTTTGTCCCCCCTCTTCCATGCTTTGGCTCACATGCTCTCGCACACACTCACCGAGGCTGGTGGCTGATGCCTATGATCTGGTGGGTAGAGCAGCCCATGAAGAAGAGGGGCAGGCTGAGAAGTAGGCAGGACAGCGCCCCCAGCAGGCAAAGGGCACTGCAGTGCATGGGGCCCAGGTGGAGGCGCTTGACCAGAATGCCCCCCACTATGATGCCCAGGATGGCTGAGGGGATGGAGAGACAGCCAATGAGCATGTTGGCATAGGACGCTGTGACGGAGAACTGGCGCTCCAGGAACTTGGGCAGGAAGGTGGCCATGCCTGCTACCATGGACGACAAGCACACCTGGGACAGGACCACCAGCAGGAAGATGGGGTGGCGCAGGGTTCGCAGCAGCACCTTGGGGAAAACTGTTGGGGTGAATGGGGAGAAGGTCAGTGGGCAGCCAATCATGTCCTTCATTGCTGTCCCATCCTGCCCTGTTCAGTTTACACTGTCCCTTCCTCCCGTCCCATCTCATTCCATTTTATTCTGTTATACTCAATTCTATCCTATTACATCTGACTCCTTTCCTTTTATTCCATTTTTGAAATTCTGTTTCATTTTATTCCATTGAGTTAGACTGCATTTTATTCCATTGTGTTTCCATTCAATTCTGTTCCATATATTTCTGTTCCACACCATCCTGATTCTATTTCATTCATTCTATACCATCTCATTTCATTTCTTCTGTTCTACTCATTCATCTCTTCTCCTCCTCCTTCTCCTCCTTCTTCTTGTCACTCAGCCCTTTCCATCCTGTCCTGCTATAGCTCTTTCAAAGCCAACCCAGGCCTTTGTCTCCGCTTCTGTGTCCCCGACACAGGACAACATCCTCTCGCCTGATCTCCCCATTCTTAGTTTATGTTTCTCCACATCAGCATTTTACCTAACATACTACACATTTTACCCATTTGGCCATTTTTTTTTGTCACCCCACCAGAATGCAAGCTCCATTTAGAGTGGGGATTTTTGTCTGTTGTGTTAATTGTTGAATTTCCAGAGCCTGGGGGACAGTAAGCACTCAACAAATATTTATGGAATGAATGAGGGAATGAATGAATGGACATACAGACTAATACGTGATCAAATGTCAGAATCTGAGACCTCTGGATAAGGTGAACCGGGAGCAGGCGGGGCGCAGGAGGGGGCCCGCGGAGTGGGAGGGTCTGGAGAGGGGGGGTGAGAAGGAAAGGAATTCCTAGCAGGGGCACAGCAGGGGCAAATGCTCGGAGACAGGATGAGAAATGATGAGCTTCCCAGACTCCTGCTGGCTCCGGGGAACAGTATTCCTCAGGCAAGTCTGCTAAACTGAAGGGCACGGACGCTGCGCTGCGTAAGCCCCAAGCTCTAGGCTCAGAGCCTTCACCAGCCGGGCGGCCAAGATGACAGCCGAGAACAGTCTGACTGTGTGACTCTCTCCACGCATGAAAAGAGGAAGAGCTGTGTTTCTGCCCGCGGGGGAAAGGCCTTCCTAAGAAGAGGCACAGGGGACAAACCACTCGCCAGGCTGGGCTGGTCGGGAAAGCCGGCCAAGGGGCTTCTCGGGGCTGAGTGGGTGGGGTGGGTCCCTTCCGTTCCTGGAACAGAGGACCAAGGCCTCTGTGTGGGAAATTTCTGCCTGTCTTCAGTATGGCCCAGCCAGCTGATTTCCTCGCCCCTGGGCCAGGCCTGAAGCTGGGAGCCAGAAAATAAAGACGAACAGTCCAGGCAGGGTAGGTGGGAGCAGGGGTTATGGAATTCTCCCTCCTTCCCGTCCCAGGCCTGGCTCTTATCCCTCGTCCCTTGTCACAGCCAGGGTTTGAAGCAGGGAGCTGGGACACTAGGACTTCGCCCAGGTAACTGCTCCAGTCTCTCTTCCTCCCTCCATGAGCTGCCCTGGCCAGGATGGGCCTGGGTTTGGCCCAAACTGTACAGGTGCCCTCATGGTACAGGTGGCACTCACCCTACTTCACCTGGAAAGGCTGGGCAAAGCCAGGAGTTGTCGGGGATTTCCTGACTCTCAGTATGAGGGCCATTCCCCCATTCCAGCCCTCCCCCACCCCATATTCCTGGGCCTCTGGCTATTGTTTCCACCCTTTCACTTGTGCTAACCATTGCAATACAGTGGGTACCAGTTCTCCATCTGCAGCATCTGCAAACTGTCCCTGGAAGAGCTGGAAAATTCCTGGAGGGCAGGGCTGCGCCTGTCTCAGCTAGGGCTACCTAAGAGGAGACTCCAGGTTCCAGCTCCAGCTCCGAAGGGTTCTTCTCCATTACACAAGCCAGAGCCTCTCAGCTCAGAAACCGTTTCTCCCTTACCAGACAGGGCCTGCCGCAGCTCAGAGGCCCGGTCTCCTCCATTGGACAAGGCAGGTAGAGTCTCCCTCCATTCGATGGAGGCCTGTGTGTCCGCTGCACAGGGACCTCCCGCCAGCTTAGACACTTGTCTCTCCCCTCAACCAGGGCCTCTCCCAGCTCAGGGACGTGTCTCCCCTATCACTTGGGTTGCAGTTTTGATCCCCAGACAGGGGCCTTCCTTAGCTCGGGGACCGTCTTCCCCCAAGAGTTTAGGGCTCCTCCAGCTGAGGACCATGGTTCCTCCTCCCTTTGCTTCCTCCAGGGTTCCAGGTGGTCAAGGCCAAGCCTCGGTGTCAGATTGGTCCCTCTGGAGCTCAGCAGAAAGCCTAGCAGCCAGGTGGGGTGACCGGGCACAGGGTCTGTGGCCAGCCCTGCCTCGGTTTCCTCCAGGCTCATGTAGAAGTCGAAACTACCAGAGACAATCGGGCCCAGGACATCCACTCCAGGATTCAGTTTCAGCGACTGGCTGCAGCTTCTCTCTGGGCAGGAGCCAAAGCAGTGATTAATAAGCTCTCCCGAGGAGCGGGTGCCGGTGCCTGCCAGCAGCTGAGGGTGACCTGAGGCGAAGGAGCCCAAGCCCCTGCCTCTAATCCAAGCTCTGTGGGGTGCACACCCCCTTTCCCTGGGGATGCTGGAGAACTGGGGGCTAGATTACTGGTATCCAAACATCGTGTCTTAGGAAACACTTCCCAAAAATTGGGCTTAATGAACTTCCTGTTGCAAAAGGGAACATGACGCAAACCCCGCGGTTATCACCCACCCCCTTAAACCACAGGCAGCTCAATTTATTGTCCCAGGACATGGTCAGAATAACAGTGCGGCAAAAGTGATAATTGAAATAGTAATCGCACCTTGTGTAAGTAGAGGTTTTTAAAAATAACATACAAAGGACTTTCCATTCATCATCCCATTTGATTTTGCTAAAAGTCCTTGAGAAAGGCAGAGTGAGGATTACAGACCCCATCTTTCAGGTGAGGAAACTTAAGTTAGGGGAGGAAAGAAATTTCGGTAAGACTGTAGGCTGGTCATTGTTGGAGCGAGCCCCTGATCCAGGCCTCTGACTTGCCATCCGCGGCTGTAAAGGAGCCTGGGTCACGGCAGGAAATCAATGGTCATGGGATCAGAATCCTTAGAAAGGACAACCTGGTTGCAAGAGGGCCCTGGTTACTGATCACTTGAGTTCATGGTCTCAGGATCAGATTGACATGGATCTTAGATCACTGAGTCTACCCCCCCACCCCGCCCCCCACTGCACAGATGGGGAAGCTGAGGCCCGGAGAGGAGCAATCACCCAGGACAAAAGTTCAGGTTTCTGCACTGTAGCCCAGGGCTCCTTCAACCATACCACAGCCTGGGAGTTGAATAAATATTTACTGAGAGCCTTCTGTGTGTGGGCTCCGTGGTAGCGGGGGGAAGGGACACAGATGAGCCAGCACAGGCGCTGACCTTCAGGGGCACACTGCTTGGGGGAAGGACTGAACTAGTATGCAGCACAGATCTGAGCTGACCTAGAAGTGCTAAGGGTTTGGAGAGCTGAGGGGGGGTGAGCCAGGCTAGGCGAGCGAAAGAAAGAAATGGCACTTGATTATAACCTACAGGGACAAGAAAGATTTTGCTAGATAGCAATAAAAAATGATGTTCTAGGCAGAGAAATCATATGAGCAAAGACTCACAATGAGTGTAGGGTGCTCCTGAAGGGCCTGTAGGTATGGAAGATGAATTAAGAAAGGCAGGAAGGGGCTAGATCTTATAGTCTCAAATGCCCCTCCAGCTCCATCTCCCCATAGTATGGCCTGAGCTCACCCACCTTTGATGAACTGGATCACGGTCAGGTCTGGTGCGATCTGGGCTGGGCCATCCTTCTTTGGAGACTCCTCAGGGGTTTGCCCAGAAGAGGAGTCTTCACCCTGGGAAGACACAACCAAGGGAAGTCAGCCGGATGAGACATTCTGCTCACGATGCTTGTGGGCTGGGTAAGGAGAGTCTGGGAGACGAGAGGGTGGGGGCTGTCACCTCCTCAGAAGCAACAGGGGCCAGCAGTGTTCGATTTGTTCTTGGCCCATGGGTACTTAACAAGTGGTTTTTTTTGGGTTGGGGGTTAAGAAAACAGATTTTATTGCCCAGCAATTAAAAGTATTCAAACACGCCCTGGCTGGTTTGGCTCAGCGGTTAGAGCGTTGGCCTGCAGTCCTGAGAGACCCGGGTTCGGTTCCCGCTAAGGGCGCGTACCTCGGTTGCAGTTTGTCCCCGGCCCTGGTCGGTTGTGCGGGTGGCAGCCACTCGATGTGTTCCTTTCACATCGATGTTTCTCTCCCTCTCTGTTCCTCTCTCTCCCTCCCACTCTACCTAAACAAAAAATGGAAAAATGTCCTCGGGTGAGGATAAAAAATAAATAAATAAATATAAAAGTATTCGAACATGTATTTTCCACATAATTTATTGCGATGTGATCAATGTTGAATAAAATATTAATTTCTATCATTTGCTTCAACTCATGGCTTCTTGACTAATTCTTTGTTTTTTCTTCCAAAATGTCGCACACCACATCTCTGAGGCCATGAAGAATTTTTAAACACCACAGCTAATAACTTGAATATTCTTCATACTTGTCTCATACTTGTGCTCCTCGTGGTTTAGTCATTCTCTATGATACATTGTTGGACAACATTCATCATGACAAGTGGTTTTGAAAGAATGGATGAAATTCCAGTGGTTAAACTTTGTCATCACCATTCCTAATATCATAATAATCAGCAACATTACCATGAAAATGACCACCATAATTACCATTATCATCATTGTTCCCATCATCCTAAATACCACTCCCATCACATCAGCAATGTCGTGAATAAATGACCAATATTGTCCTTACTATTACTGTTGTCTCTGTCAAGGTCACCAGCACAATCATTCTCATCGTCACTGTCACCTGGCACTTCAGAATCACTAATGAAATCAGGACTATAAGAATCACCAATATAAGTGAGATCATATGATACTTGTCTTTCTCTTATTTGTGGAATATAATGAACATAACAGTCTGAGGAATGGGGTAGTCCCAGAGACGTGGAAGTGGGGTACAGACTGACAATCCCCAGAAGAGGGGGTGGTGGGGGAGAGATAAACCACAGAACTTATACACATGTATGCATGAACAGTGGACATGGTCAACAAGCTGGGGACAGGGCAGGGAGGGAGGGGGAGGTGGGAATCAGTGGGGGAAAAAGGAGAAACATCTGTAACAAAAATTAATTAAAAAAAAAAAAAAGAATCACCAATATAGCCCTGGCTGGTTTGGCTCAGCAGTTAGAGCGTTGGCCCACAGACTAATGAGTCGCAGGTTTGATTCCGAGGCACGCACATCCGTTTTGGTTCGTCCCTGGCCCTGGTCAGGGTCGTGCAGGAGGCAGCCAGTCAATGCATCTCTCTCACATCGATGTTTCTCTCTCTTCTCTCTTTCTCCCCCTTCCCTTCCACTCTCTCTAAAAATCAGTGGAAAAAACATCTTGGGTGAGAATTAACAACAAAAAACGAATCACCAATGTCATTATCACTGTCTCTAACATCATCATCATCTCTGCCACTGTCTTTATCACCATCGGCATCACCATCCAAGGTTAACACCATACCGCTGTCTTCAGTTATTATGTCCATGGCTATCATCACTTGGAAAGTCACCATAAGCAAGAGCCCCTGTGAGCTATGCCTTCCTAGGGGTTGGGGCGGTATGGGCCTATGGGCTTACTGTTCTCCACTGTCTGCTTTGAGAGGACGAGAAGTGGGTTGGGGGAGGCAAGAGGCAACAGCTCCTCTCCTCCTCTTGGATGAGTCAGGCCACACGTGGAGAGGATTGCTCAGCTCTAGCATCGCACTGTGAGGAAACTCAGGGACACCCTGGAGGGTGACCTTCCATCTGCGTGAGGATGGCCTACATGAGAACCTTGAGACGTCTTTTATCCTGGGAAGGAGAAGACTTTGGGGCCATAGTCACAGTCTTCTGCTTGTCAGGAAGGAAGGAGGAAACCATGCTAATGATTAATGGTTACTAAGCACCTATTACAAGCCCAGTGCTATTCTAACGACTAATGCATTAGCTCATTGAAACCTCACAACAATTTTCTGAAGTAGGTACCATTATAATCCATATTTTTAGGGGATAAAACTGAGTTACAGAGAGATGAAGTCATTTGTTTGGTCACACAACTACTAAGTGATCTGGCTATGATTTGAACTCAGACAGCTTGACTCCAGAACCTCTGTGCACCTGGTTGATTCACCTTGAGGGACAGGGAACCAAGGTCACTGAGTTCTGGGTATTCTACCTGCCTAACTCTAATATGACATTTTCACTCTGGTATTATTTTTATTATTGTTGTTATTATTTAATCCTCACCCAAGGATATTTTTACATTTATCTTCAGACAGAGTGGGAAGGAGAGAGAGAGAAACATCAATGTGAGAGAGACACATCGATTGGTTGCCTCTCACATGAACCCAACCATGGCCGGGGACAAACTGCAACCAAGGTATGTACCTTTGGCTGAAATCGAACCCATGACTCTTTGGTTCGCAGGCCGACGCTCTAACTGCTGAGCCAAACTGGCCAGGGCTCAGGTATTATTATTGTGCACAATTTTTAGGTGAGGAAACTGTCCTTCTTGGAGAAGTTGCTACTGGCACAGAGTCATTTGAATATAAGTGATCGAGTAGGTTTGATTTTACTACATTTTTCTATGCAGCCTAAGACCAGAATTAGAAGCAAAAAGTTCTATGGAGGAAGACTGAAGCCCTATGTAAAAAGCACTTCGGATGAGGCTGCCCCGGGAGGAAGTGAGTTCCCTATAACTAGAAGCAAGCAAACAGAGTCTGACTCCTCCCTGCTCATGGGGAAAGGCAGGTCGGGCTGGAAAACTTATCTGGGGGGAGAGGGGGGCCTCCAGTTCTGCCTCTTATGGGCAAAAAAAAAGATTCTGTAATAAAACTGGCAAGTCCAGTAATAGAAAGTAACCTCACAGGGTGATCTGATCCTAAATTCCTAACTGGGCAGGTCCTGTGGGTTAGTCATGCCCAGGCCTGTGACGTTTTTAGTAAAAGATTTATCTTGGCCTTAAGCACGCCCTGTGCATCTTGCGTCTAGATGAGCACACCAGAGCCATCCTCTCTCAGGCCACGCAGAGACATTCTCGAGAGAACACAATCTCATTCACTGTCCTGTCCCTTGCCTTCTCCACCGTCATTGCTCCCTAATTCCAAACGTGTAAAGGAAACTGCAGAGCTGTTATTCTTTGGAGCATTTGGAAGCTTGCTTCCCAGCGATTGTCATCGGTTGGCTCAAATAAATCTTACAAAGCTGTTCTCTCCCCATGGAGCCTCTATCCCTACAGACTTCACCACTTTCTCTTTCCTTTCTTACCTTTTTTCTTTTTTAAAGAGAACTCTGGAGGTAACGTTGGATTTCCCCACATTTCAGAACCTCATGCCTCCCCACCCCCGATCCCAGGGGTACACTGTTTCAACCTTCTTCCACCTGTCTCTCTGGTGTGGTTGGCCCAGCAGAGAAATTCATTCAAACATCTGTTCCTGTGTGTTTCCCCCATGCTGGGCTTTCCCCTGTCTTCCCTCTTTTATTTCAGTAGGTAGCAAGGGCTCTGGGTTTCCTGGCTTCGATCTTCAACTGCCAGATTTTCCTTCCCTATGTTTGTTTCCAAAGCCTGAGTCCACTGAGAAATGATGCTGGGTGTTGGGGGGGGGGGGTGCGAGAAGAAAGAAAGGCCTCTGAGAATGGGGGGTGAAAGGATGGGGATGAGCAGTCTGTGGGTTCCATGAGCAGCAGAGAGCCGCGTAGCCTCTGACATTGCCCAAGGAAACAGCTCACCTCGAGGGCCAGGATGCAGGCTGACCTAGGGAGGCTGGGCTCCATTGTCCTCAGCTACACCAAACTCCTATGCTCCAAGCATATTGAAGGGGACCTCATGGCCGGGATGAATTTATGCTGATGCCTGAAGGGTGGGGGTGGGTCCTTCCTGGTGCCTGGGAATCCTGTAAGACCTCAGGACCTTTGCTTCACCCTGGTGGAGGAGCCCCGAGAAAGGCTAAGGTTGAATTTCTTGCTGATCTGGCAGGAGGGACACTCAGAGTGAAAATTAAGTTGATTTTCAGAAAAATAATGACTGTCTATTTTATACACACTTGGGTCTGCATCTGACCTTGTTCACTGTCTCTCCCCTGCTTATTTCAGATTTGCAAGAGCAGGGACCATGTTTACCTTGTTCTCTGTCGAAACTCCCCGCCTAAGGCCTGGGGCAGAATAACCAATATCTAATAGATATCTTTGGAAAGGAGTGCAAGAGATGGTTCCAACAGGTAGTGGGTACAGCCCATGCCAGGCTTTGGGAAGAAAAATGAGACCATCAACAGGAGATACTATCATGCTGCAAGCAAGCTCTTAGACTGCTGCTGGCTTAGAGGTGACAGAGGGTCCACACTGGGAGCCCAGGGGCCTAGCAGAATGGAGATTCCATGTATGCCAGGCACTGGCTCAGCACGTTGCTCCTGCTCCATCCTCACTGGGACCTGTGAAGGAAGGAGACTCAAACACCCACACGCAAGCAAACAAGCTGTGAAGTTAGGTAACTTGCTCAACATCACACAACTAGAAAGTGCCAAAACTAAGATCTAAGCTCATGCCTGCCAGAGTGGAAAACTCACGCTTTATCCGTTGAACCCCGTGAGTCAGAGGCCCAGTGCAGGACTGGCAGAATCAGGGGGCACCTTTGTGATGTGATGTGAAGGGGCCAGAAATCCCACCATTCTGTTCTTTTTTCCCAGTGAGGTACTGTGGGTCTATTATTCACTTACACCTTAGAGCTGTGCTATGTGAGCCAGCAGCCCCCAGCCACATGTGGCCACCGAGCCCTGGAATTATGGCTAGTTCCCACTGGAATGTGGGGTAAGTAAAAAATACACATTGAATGTCACAGACTTAGTATGGAAAAAAAAAAAGAGAGAGTGGAACTATCTCATTATTAATGTGGACAAGAAGGAGGCTCTATAATAAATCTGACAAGTCCAACCCTGGTCGGTTTGGCTCAGCAGTTAGAGAGCCAGCAGGTAGACCAGAGAGTCCCGGGTTTGGTTCCCGCTAAGGACATGTACCTCGGTTGCAGTTTGTCCCCAGCTCTGGGTGGGGTTGTGTGGGTGTCAACCAGTTGATGCGTCTCTCTCACGTTGATGTTTCTCTCTCTCGCTTCCTCCCTTTCTCCCTCCCACTCTATCTGAAGATAAGTTTCCAAAAAAATGTCCTCCGGTCCTCATTCTGACAAGACCAAGTAAACTCACAGGGTGATGTGATCATAAACCGTTAACTGGGCAGGTAGGTCATGGTGGTTAGTCACTCCCCAGGCATATAACTTTTTTAAAAAAGTATTAATCATCACCTGAGTATATGTTCTTCATTGAGTTTGAGAGAGAGAGAGAGAGAGAGAGAGAGAGAGAGAGAGAGAGAAACGTTGATCAGTTGCCTCCCTAGGTATGCGCCCTGACTAAGAATTGAACCTGCCACCTATTGGTGTACAGGACAATGCTCCAGCCAACGGAGTCACGCAGCCAGGGTACAACTTCTTTAGTAAAAGTTTATCTTTACCTTAAGCAAGGCCTAGCCATTGTTTCTGTTCATCTAGGTGAGGAACCTTTGAAAAGCATTCTATCAGACCCCTGGGAAGCTTAAGTTTCCTTAAGGGAGCACATCGTCTTGTTAACAATCCTGTGATTCAGTCCTTGCCTCTCTTTATCCCATCTCCATGTGATCTCCCTTGCTTCCCTCCTTAATCCCAAACATATAAAAGAAACTGCAAAACTGTCCTCCGGAGTTTTGAGATCTTGCCTCTTAGCATTGTCATCAGTTTGGCTCAAATAAACACATGAACATTCTCTACAGGTTTGGAAGTTTCTTATGCTGACATTATTTTTTTGTATTTATGGTATATAAAATGAGGATATTTGAGATGTAGTGGGTTAAATAAAATATATTATTAGAGAGTTATTGAATCTCCAAGCAAATAACATCCACAGAAAAGCAGGTGTAGCCATATTTATATCTGACAAAATAGGTAACAAGAGACAGAGATGGATATTTTATAATGATAAAGGGACACCACATGAAGAAGACACAACACTTCTCTCTATACATGCACCCAATCAGGGAGCACCAAAATATGTAAAGCACCTACGAAGAGAACTAAAGGGAGAACCTGACAAAAACACAATCATAGTTTGGGAAATTAATTCTCTATTGACAACTTTAGATAGATCATCCAAGCAGAAAAATCAATAAAGAAACATTGGCCTTAAGTGACACATTAGACCAAGTAGACATAATTGACATTTACAGAGCCTTTTATCCCAGAACATTTTTCTCTAGTCAATATGAAATATTCTCAAGGATAGACCATATGTTAGCTCACAAAACTAGCCTCAACAAATTCAAGAAAATTGAAATTATATCTTAAAAATGGAACTGCCTTATGACCTAGAGATTCCACTTCTGGGAATTTATCCAAGGAAACCCAATACACTAATTCGAAAGAATATATACACCCTTATGTTTATTGCAGTGATATTTACAATAGTCAAGATTTGGAAGCAGCTCAAGTGTCCATGAGTAGATGAGTGGATAAAAAAAGCTGTGGTACACAATGGAATAATACTCTGCCATAAAAAGGAAGAACATTTTACCCTTTGTGACAGCATGGATGGACCCGGAGAACACTATGCTAAGTGAAATAAGCCAGAGAAAAACAAGTACCATATGATTTCACTCATATGTGGAATTTAATGAACAAACTGAACTACCAAGCAAAATGGAGACAGACTCATAGATAAAAAGCCAGCAGACAGCTCTGGTTGGTGGTGGGTAGAGGGACTGAGCAAAAAAAAGAGAAAGAGAACTCATGGGCATGGACGACAGCATGGCGACTGTAGAAGGGCTGGGGAGTGGAGGTGGAAGAGGGCATAGAGGGGATAAATGGTGATGGAAAAAAATGAAATAAAAACGAAAAAATAAATAAAAGAAATTATACCAAGCATATTGTTTGACCACAATATTTTGAAATTAGTAATCAGCTTCAAAAGGGAAGTAAAGAAACCCAAAAATATGTGGAGATTAAACAATATACTACTAAAAAATGACTGGGTCAAAGAAAAAATAAAAAGTTGAGATCTAGAGATACATAGAAACAAAAGAGAATGACAATCCGACATATCAAAACATCTGAAATGCAGCGAAAGCAGTAATAAGAGAGAAGTTTATATCATTATGGGCCTATCTCAAAAAACAAAAGAGATCTCAAGTAAACAACCTAACATTACATCTTAACAAATTAGAAAAAAAAAAAAAAAGAACAAAAGCAACCCAAAGTCAGCAGGACAAAGAAAATAATAAAAATTAGAGTAGAATTGAAAGAAAGAGAGAACAAAAAGACTATACAAAAAATTAGTACAATAAAGAGCTAGTTGTTTGAAAAGATTAATAAAATTGACGACCCCTGGCTAAACTCACTAGAGAAAAAAGAGAAAAGATTCAGATAAACAAAGTAAGAAATAAAAGAGAAGTTGCCACAGACATCACAGGTATACAAAGGATCATACCAGAATTCCATGAAAAGCTATATGCCACCAAATTCAATAACCTAGAAGAAATGGATAAGTTCCTAGAACTATATAATCTTCTTAGATTGACTCATGAGGAACTGGAAACTCTAAGTAGACCAATCAACAGTGAGGAAATGGAAACAACCATCAGAAATCTCCCAAAAAATAAAAGTCCAGGATCAAATGGCTTCACTAGTGAATTCTACCAAACATTCAAAGATTTGAAACCTATCCTTCTCAAACACTTCCAAAAAAAATCGAACAAGAGGCAATACTTCCTAACACATTTTAAGAGGCCAACATAACCCTGATACCAAAACCTAGCAAGGATAAAAAAAAACCAAAAAACTACAGACCAATATCTCTGGTGAATACAGATGCAAAAATATTAAACAAAATACTCACAAATCCAATACATTGAAAAAACTGTACATCATGATCAAGTGCACATTTTAGGGGCACAAGGATGTTTCAACATATGCAAATCAATGAATATAATACATCACATTAACAAAAGAAAGGATAGAAATTATATGATCTTATAAATAGATGCAAAACAAGCATTTGATAAGATACAACATCCTTTTGTGATTGAAACACGCAGTAAAATGGGTATAGAAGGAAAGTACCTCAACATAATAAAGTTCATATGTGACAAACCCTCAGCCAATATCATGCTCAATGGTGAAAAACTGAAAGCTTTTCCTCTAAAATCAGGAACAAGACAAAGATGCCCAGTCTCACTACTCTTATTCAGCATAGTTCTGGAAGCCCTAGCCAGAGAAATCAGGCAAGAGACTGAAATAAGAAGCATCCAAATTGGGAAGGAAGAAGTAAAAGTGTCACTTTTTTCAGATGACATGATTCTATATATAGAAAACCCTAAAGCCTCCATCAAAGCACTATTAGAAACAATAAACAAATACAGCAAAGTTGCAGGATACAAAAGCAATGTACAATGCCCGGCTGGTGTGGCTCAGTGGTTGAGCGTCAACCCAGGCACCAAAAGGTCGCTGGTTTGATCCCCGGTCAAGGCACATGCCAGGTTGTGGGCCCCATTCCCAGTGTGTGTGTGTGTGGGGGGGCATGCAGGAGGTGGCCAATTGATGTTCTCTCTCATTGATGTTTCCATCTCTCTCGACCTCTCCCTTCCTCTCTCTCTAAAATCAATAAAGAAACAAACAAACAAAGCAATGTACAAAAACCCACTGCATTCTTATATACTACCAACACAATTTCAGAAAAAGAAATGAAAAAAACAATTCTTTTGCAATTGCAACCAAAAGAATAAAATAACTAGGAATAAACGTAGCAAAGGATATGAAGGACCTATATACTGAAAACTACAAAGCATTGTTAAAAGAGATTGGAAAAGCCCTGGCTGGTGTGACTCAGTTGTTTGGAGCATCGTCCCATATACTGAAACACTGTAGGTTTGATTCCTGGTGAAGGCACATACCCAAGTTGTGGTTAGAACCCCAGTAGGGGCACATATGAGAGGCATCCAGAGGCAACCAATTGATAATTCTCTCTCACATCTATGTTTCTTTCTCTCTCCCTTTCCCTTCCTCTCTTTAAAATCAATAACATATCCTCAGATAAGGATGAAAAAGAGAGATTGAAAAAGACATAATGAAATGGAAAGATATTCTGTATTCATGAACTGAAAGAATCAACATAGTTAAAATGGCCATATCACCTAAAGAAATATAAAGATTTAATGCAATCTTCATCAAAATCTCAATGTCATTTTTATTTTTATTTATTTATTTATTTTATTTATTTATTTATTTATTTATTTTTTTATCCTCACCCGAGGACATTTTTTTATTTTTTGTTCAGATAGAGTAGAAGGAAGAGAGAGAGAGAGAAACATCGACGTGAAAGGGACACATCGAGTGGCTGCCACCCACACGACCCAACCA